CATTCTCAATGTGACGCGTGGCAGCAAACATCTGTGCAGTAGCTGGCTTCCTGCTGGCGATATGACTCTGCAACTTACCCCTTGCCTCGACCAAGCCTCACCGCTGCATTTGGAAGCCAGATCAATCTGCCTGTCCAACTCCCCCACCCGCGCACGAGCACTGTCTTCGTCGAAGGGACTGTCTGCATCATCACGTTCGCTGGTATCTGGCTCCTCCACCTCCATTCCATACACACAATGTGAAGAGAGCGACGCAATCTGCCGCTCCAACTTGAGGATGGTGGCCTGTGCCTGACGCAACTCTGCAGATTTGACCCGTGGAGCATCTGCGCTTACTGCTGCCTTGGGATCCTGCCAGCGCCGATCGCCCGCGTTCATCGCGAGCGTGTGCGCTGGGCTCAGGCGGTTCCGTAGATGAGTGGAAGCAAGAGCCCTGGGGCCGACGACACTTGAAGAACTTCTGCCCCGCCCTACCGTGCACACAGCACCTGCAATACAGAAGCGCGATCACTGGCAGACGGAGCCATGGCGAGCGTCTTGCCGCCGCAGCGGCCGTGCTGTAGCCTGCCCTGGCCCAAAATGCTCGCGGCCACCCGGCCGTTCTGGAGAATCGGGGACCGCAGGCACATGCAAAATGCCTGAGCCAGAACGGCTAAGGAGGAGAAGGAGGAGGAGGAGGAGGAGCGAGAGGACGAGGACAAGGAGGAGGAAAAGGAGAAGGGGGAGGAGCGAGAGGACGAGGAGGACAAGCAGGACCAGGACAAGGAGGAGTAGAAGGAGGAGGAGGAGGAGGAGCGAGAGGACGAGGACAAGGAGGACGAGGAAAGGAGGAGGAGGAGCGAGAGGACGAGGACAAGGAGGACGGGGGGGCCCGAACACATATCATATCCATCTTGTAGTATATCGTTTCCCGAGCGGTATGGCCAGAGAGCGCCAGCCACGACGCACATACATCAGATTTCGCGGTGCGCGCGTCGCCCCTGGGGGGCGGCGCACACGTAGTATTAGCATGTTGGGGTGACGCCGAATGAAAGACCGCACAATCACTCCCTATGCTTTGTCTGCAGTGATCGGCGTCCAGAAGCCAGTGTCTGGGCCACGCTATCCCCTGAAATCTGCGCACTGCAATTTTCTCGCACCGGGCCCTGAGACCATCACAGCTCGATCTGGCTCGGAAAATGCAGCAGAAAGATGGGGTCTTAAGGCTCCCGCCGTGATTTTCTGCGAGGCATTTTGTTCGCAACGTCGGATCTCAGGGTCATGAACACGACTCGGAACGGAAGACTTGTCCCAGGGAAGGGGTCGAGAGCTCCAGGGGGCCGGCGAATCGAGAGAGCCCGGCCCTCGGGCGTCTGGAGATGTGACGGGGCAACAGAATGTGTCACGACGTGGCCAGAATACCACAGGCGCACTACCGAATCATACATATACATATATAGAGAGAGATATGCATACATACATCGATGCAGTGACAGAGCGAGAGAGAGAGAGAGAGACAAAAAAAAAAACACAAAGAGAGAGAGAGAGACAGAGAACAGAGAGAGAGAAGGGGAGAGGGAGGAGGAGGAAGAGGATGAGGATGAGGTACAGGAATCGATGAACAGACAAGAACAGGAACTGGAGGAAGAGGAATAGGAAGAGCAAAAGAAGTTTTCATCGGCTGAGGGGCAAATTATGGCATATCAGGATGGCACAGCGATTGCAGATCAAATGCAGGAGTGTATGCACCATCCTGGCCATGAACACGAGTGCTCGACCGAGCATGCCAGCTCCAAAATCGATTAAAGCGTCCAGGATGAGGAGGAGGAGGCGTGGGAGGACGTTGATGACGAGGACGAAGAGGGCATATGCACAACATAAATTCAAGGCAGTACGCAAACACTGAGTCTTCCCTTGCTCGGCGATTGGACCTGCTCTGCCCGAGTGTTCGCCAGACGGCCCTTTCCTGGCAACTGCACACGGGATAGAATGTCGCCACGCTTGATTTACATGACGGTGCAACCGGAGCCCGCCGCCAGGGCTTCGTTCCCTACGGCAAAGCTTTTGTTTAGTCCCGCACAGCGAAGCCACTACCACAAGGAACGCTCAAGAAGGAACGAAGCTCTTTCTGGCCCCCTAAAGCGCCTGGGTGCACGAGGAGCGCTAGAGGAACTTCCGAACCCGAGGAAGGACCTCAGGAACAGAAAGCCCCTTCTGAACCCGAGATGCTCCTTGTTTCAGCGTCTTGACTGCACCTCGTGTACAGCATGCGGGCACTTTCAGCACACGGGCGAGGGGGGCCAGGGTGTCCACACGACAGTGGCTCCAGCGAGCCAACAAAAAGTGCTGCTTCATCTTCTGCGCCGCCGCCGCCGCCGACGATGATGAGGACAGGGATGCTTCCACGGATCTCAGGCCCTCGATTGATCGGCGACATGAGCATGAAGCAGCTCGCATGCACGGTCGGAGCTCGCATGATCTGCAATATCCAACCTATGTACTGCTCGGCCCAGGTGGCAAAATACTCGTTCTTAACAGGACCCCGCTGCTGGCAAAAGCCAATCGTGGGTGGCGACCCAGGACGTGCCTTCTCCAAGCTGCCACCTCCGCCCAAAGAGTAGCACCCACACTGAGCACACACACACACATCACCGCTCCACCTTCACTGGAGTGCCTCGCGGGGAGGGGGGGGGGAGGGGCAGAAGGGGGTAGCAGGAAGGGAGAGAGATACACCCTGCGAAATGCTTAAGAAATCATGGGTTAAGAAATTCATAGTCTCAGAACTTGAATAAAAACCCAACATTTCTATTAAAATCTTAGGATTTACATTGAAACGTTAAGAATAATCGAGACTCTGGCCGAAAACTTAGGTTTTCTTAAGCATCGCCTAAGGTGTAGAGGGACGATGGAACAGGGGAGGCTCCAGGAGATGCTCGGGGGCCGGAAACGGCCGAGGGGTCTGCGCGGAGTGGGCCCCGAAGAGGCCGGTCATGAAGGGGTGGGGGGAGGGAACGAGGGCAAACCCGCGCCGAGAAAATCAGTCAAGAGGGGGGGGAGGGGAGCGGGGACAAACCCGCGCAGAGTCGGTCCCCGGACCCCCCGCTTTTGGGGTCGAGCGTGACCAGCCGTTCGAGCCGCGCGCAGCCGTGGCGACGAGGGGGGGGCCCTCTCCTGCCCCGGTGCTGCTGGCCGGAGCCGGTGCAGGGCCGCCTCAGCGCCGCAGGAGGAGGAGGAGGAGGAGGAGGAGCCGGCTCCAAGTCGGAGGTTCCCCGAAGTGATCCAGAAGTCCTGAGGCGTTTCAGGGTAAACATCAATCCAGCAACCAAAAAGCGACAGAAAATCCTGGAGAGCGATCAAAGGCAACAGCTCAAATTAGTTTGGAATCCTGGAGGGCGACAACAAAAATCAGCATAAACATACACGTTAGCCAGCGTGAGCACAACTGTGATTTCTTGTTGTCTATGCGGCGCCATCTGGGTGGTGCAATCAGTGTGGTGCAATCTGGGTAGTGCAGCCCAAGTGATGCAATATGTGTGGCGCAACGAAATGCAAAACAATGCAAAGCAATGCCAAGAAAGTCAAAGCAATACAAAGCCATGCAAAGCCATGCAAGGCAATGCAAAACAATGCAAAGCCATGCCAAGCAACGTAAAGTAATGCAATTCAGTCCAAAGCAACGCAGAGCAATGCAACGCAATGTAAAGAAATGCAAAGCTACGCAAAGCTATGCAACGCAATGCAAAGCAATTCAAAGCAACGCAAAGCAATGCCACTCGATGCGAAGCATGGCGAAGCATTGCGAAGCATCGCGAAGCAGTACAGCTCAGTGCGAAGCGAGGCAGAGCGATGCAACGCAACGCGATCGCAATGCGATCGCGGTGCGATCGCAATGCAAATCGCTTCGCCGGGCGATCGCGATCGCACTGCACGGGCGGCGGCGGCGGGCGGCGGCGGGCGACGACCAGCCGGCCGGACGGGCCCCGGGGGGCCACGGGCGGCGACGGGCGGCGACGGGCGGCCACGGGCGGCCCCACAGGCCGGCCAGGGCGGCGACGGGGGCCCCCCGGGCTGCCAGCGGCGGCGGCGGCGGCGGCGGCGGCGGCGGCGGGCGGCCGCGAGCCGGCCAGGGCGGCACCCGGCCATCGCTCGGACGCCCATTCCCTGTGCTTTTTGTCTCCCTCCTCCTCCTCCCTCCCTCCTCCTCCCCCTCCCTCCCTCCTCCCTCCCTCCCCCCTCCCTCCCTCCCTCCTCCCTCCTCCCTCCTCCCTCCTCCCTCCTCCCTCCTCCCTCCTCCCTCCTTCCGCCAGGTGATCAAGGATGCTCCTCGACGGTCCACGCTGAAGGAAAGATGCACTCGTCCGAGCGATGCCGAGGCACTGGAGGTGAGTGGCACGAGAGCCCCGGCAGTGCAAGCACTGCTGGGTTGGGGGAGCTTCCGGAGCTCGGCGCAGATTCCTGGGATCTGCGCTGGACCCCCCCTCCCCAAAGGCGGCGTAAGAGGCGCCGCTGGAGGGCGGCCCAGCGCCAGATCCAAGACATCTGTGCAGAACTCCGAAAGTTAATGCTTATGTCGCCTGTTCTTCTTTGATTTCTAACAGGAGTAGGAGGACGGGCGAGTCGTGGATAAGCCGAGGAACAGTCAATGGGGGACATCCATTGCTTACGGCGCACCCCAACTCGCAGCCTGTTGCGGGGGGATTTGGAGGAGGAGCAGGCGGAGGTGAGGAGTGAGGAGGACAGCGAAGAGGAATAGGAAGAGGAGGAGGAGGAGGAGGAGGAGAAGGGAGACAAGAGACAAGCCATCCCACGTAGTGATCAAGGAGGAGTAGTGGTCAAGGAGGAGTGGTGGTCAAGGAGGAGGAGGGAGGAGGAGGAGGAGGAGGAGGAGGAGGAGGAGGGAGAAGGAGGAGGAACATTTCGAAGGAGGGACAGAGGGAGTGAGGGAAGAGATAGAGGGATGGAGAGGGCGCGGCGGGGCGGGGGCGGCGTCCGAATCGACGCTGATGATCTTCCAGCCCGCGTGTCGGAGCTGGATCTCGTGCTCTGGGGGGGGGCTCAGATGTTCTTACAAACGCTGAGGGCGTCTTGTATCTGTTTGGGAGATCGACGTTGTTCCTCAATATCGCTTCGCTGGAGGGTCCTAGCAGTGGTATCAAACAGAGAAGAGTCCCGCGGGGGGGGGGGGACGGGGAGCCCTGGGACCCCGATTCGGCAGCCGATTCGCCCAAGACTTCCTGAAATCCGCCGACCCCTTGGGGATCATCGGCGTGTGAGATGCTTCCCCCCCTCCCCCCGGAGCCCGGTCCGGTCGACTTGGAGGGGGGGGGTGGGGGGCCGTCCGTTTGGAGGTCCACGGCAGCTTCTGGGGCCGCCCAAGGCCCCCAAGACGGTCCAAGAGGGCCCCGATGCCCAGGCTGGCCCCAGGACGGCCCCAGAAGCCTCCCAGACGGCCCAGGAAGCCTCCAAGAGCATCCCAAAGAGGGGCCAAAGCGGCCCAAATCGTCGAATTCCGATGGGGAAACTCACATTTTTATCGTGCACGTGTTCTCGGCCTTCACGGCGTCGAAGACGGCCCCAGAGTCCCCCAAGACGGCCCCAAAAACGGCCCGATGGGTTCCCCAGAGGCGCTCGAAACGGCCCACGAGGGCACACGGAGCTCTGCGCGTGCGGAGCGCACTGCTCCTCGCAGAGCAGGCGAAGCAGCGTGAGCCGCGGGTGGAGACGACGACGCCGCCGACGACAAACGACGACGACATCGACGACGACGTCGACGACCACGACAACGAGAACGAAGGTGGCAACGGCAACGGCAACGGCAACGTCAACCGACGACGACGACAACGACAACAACAGCAGCAACAACAAATACTACTACTCCTGCTACTACTTCTACTCCTACTCCTACTCCTACTCCTACTCCTACTCCTACTCCTACTCCTACTCCTACTCCTACTCCTACCCCTACCCCTACCCCTACCCCTACTCCTACTCCTACTACTACTACTACTACTACTACTACTACTACTACTACTACTACTACTACTACTACTACTACTACTACTACTACTACTGTTCCTACTAGAACAACAGTAGCAGCAACACCAACAACAACAACAGCAGCAGCAGCAGCAACAACAACAACAACAACAACAACAACAACAACAACAACAACAACAACAACAACAACAACAACAACCACAACAACCACAACAACAACAACAACAACAACAACAACAACAAAACGACCGACGACCGACGACCGACGACCGACGACGACAACGACGACCGACGACGACGACGACGACGACGACTGCGGCGGCGGCGGCGACGGCGGCGGCGGCGGCGGTGGCGGCGGCGGCCGCGACGACGACCGACGGCGCTGACGGCTGCGCTGGTGACGCCGGCAGCGACAACATTCACCGGGCGGAGCTGCCTCCATACACTGCAGAACCAAACACATCCAATACCTCCTTTCCTCGGTGACCTCCAGGCTTCAATCGCGCTGCTCCACTGATGCCATCTGTTCCCATCGCCCCCCTGCCAAGTCCTGCAACGCCTGGGAAAAGGGAGAGCATCAGTGGAGATCATGCTGGCCTCCTCGTCCTCCTCGCGTTCCTCCTCCTCGTCCTCCTCCTCCTCCTCTTCCTCCTCCTCGAAATTATCATCCTCCTCTTTCTCATCGCCCTCCATATGCATCATCACGAACATCATCATGAAAATCCCACCAGCCCTTTAGGGCGTACGTTGCTTAGGGCATTTCGTCTTCCAACCCCCTTCTTTTCTTTTTGGGAGGGGGCTACCACTCCCACTACCCCCTCCCCCATGCGTCTGGACGGGGGGGGTCGCGCGGAGTCGGAGCGTCCTTGTTGGCCAAAGTTGGCCCTTAGAGTGCCTCAGAGAGCCCCAGATGGCCTCCAAGATGGCTCAAGATATATCGAGATGGCTCAAGATGGCATCCAACAACAACAACAACAACAACAACAACAACAACAACAACAACACCAACACCAACAACAACAACAACAACAACAATCACTTTACCCGAACGCTCAGTGTTCTCACCAGTGCCAGGGTTTTCATGCGACGCCAGCCAATACCCCCACTTTGTGGGGGGGCAGTGCAAGCTCTACCAAATATCCACACGACTCTTCGCCACCACCCACACCCAGCTTCCCGCCCTATGACGTTCGGACACTTCACTTCGTGGCCTGCGGACGACCGTGGCTACTACACTGGCATAGTGTACACACCCACATAAGTTGTTAATCCTACGTTCGTACACCCACAGAAGTTGTTAAGCCTTGTTAACCCACAGAAGTTGTTAAGCCTTCCACAGAACATCTGTTGCATATGATGCATATGGTACATGATACACATGATACACATGATACGTACTCACAAGATAGTTGATCACATCTTTAGGGCAAATTCCTGAGGGATGTGGGAATACACAAGAGAGAGAGGATATGGTTGTCCCGATGGTTGTCTCGATGGTTGTCCCGATGGTTGTCCTGATGGTTGTGGTTGTCCCGATCGTTGTCCCGATGATTGTCCCGATGGTTGTCCTGATGGTTGTGCTTGTCCCGATCGTTGTCCCGATGACTGTCCCGATGACTGTCCCGAGGCGCCGCTTGGGGTCCTCTTGAGGGGCTTTGGGGGGTTTCTTGGAAGCATCTTGGGGCCTCTTGGGGGCTTATTGGGTCCTCACGGCGGGCTCTTGGGGCCTCTTGAAGGCCTCCTGGGGCAACCTATGGCGCAACCAGTAGGGGGACGTTTTATTCTCGGCGGCCGAGGGCGCAACCTATGGCGCAACCAATAGGGGGACGTTTTATTCTCGGCGGCCGAGGGCGCAACCTATGGCGCAACCGCAAGGGATTGTGGCCCCTGGCAGGCGCGCGAACCCCGTTGCAAGAGCGTGCGAAAGTAGCTCGCGCGAGCTCATGTAACATAAATGTTGGAAAACCATTGGTTTTTTTAGGATTCGGACAGCGCGCGCGGGTAGAAATTTTGAAAAGTCGTGCAGGTGTTTTTCGAGGACCTACGGTGCGATTCGTGTGATTTTATGATGCGCGGTGCTAAAATTCTTAAGAAGCCCAATGGTTTTTGGAGATTTCGGCGTGCGCGCGCGAAGAAAAAACGAATGTGTCCCGCATGGTATTATTTGACAGGGATGATGGCCCTGGCAGGTGCGCAACCGTTGTCGCAGAAGTTCGAAAAAGTTGCTCGCAAAAGCCCGTTTGACAGAAATGTTTAAAAAGTGTTGGGTTTCCTACGAATCCGCAAGAGCGCGCGGGATGAGATTTTGACATTTTTTTGTTGAAAAACCATTGGTTTTTTGATGTTTTTATGTTAAAATCGCTCCGAACACTAAGGTTTTGGAAGGATTTCGTCTTGCGCGCGCGAATGTCCACTTTACCTTATTTTTTGCAAGGGATTCTTGAAATTTGATTATATTAGAACAAGAAATGTCATTTTCTATTGTTTTTTGCAAGGGAAAGCGGATTACAACAAAACAACCGGATCCTGTACACACCCTCTTTTCTGAGGCTTCCTCACGAAAATGATGAAAATGTAGCTGCGGCCTAGGCGGCGCAGGGGGGGCGCGCACCAGGGGGCCCAACAATAATTATTCTTTAGAATAAATAATGTTCAACAACAATAACAACAACAATTACTAGCACGTGGGGACACTCCGTTCTCACCAGTGCCAGGGTTTTCATACGACGCCCGCCAATACCCCCACTTTGTGGGGGGGCCGGTTCAAGCTCTACCACATTTCCAAACGACTCTTCGCCACCACCCACACCCAGCTTCCCGCCCTATGACGTTCGGACACTTCACTTCGTGGCCTGCGGACGACCGTGGCTACTACACTGGCGCATGGGTACAGTGATTTGTTGTGGTAACATTTTCTGGACGCTAGCTTAGTATACGACTTTTCCCCCTGTTCCAACACTGGACACCTGGATTGCAAGGGATCGTGGCCCCTGGCAGGCGCGCGAACGCCGTTGAAAGAGCTTGCGAAAGTAGCTCGCGCGAGCTCATGTAACATAAATGTTGATTCGGACAGCGCGCGCGGGTAGAAATTTTGAAAATTCGTACAGATGTTTTTCGAGGACCTACGGTGCGATTCGTATGATTTTATGTTGCGCGGTGCTAAAATTCCTAAGAAACCCAATGGTTTTTGAAGATTTCGGCGTGCGCGCGCGAAGAAAAAACGAATGTGTCCCGCATGGTATTATTTGACAGGGATGATGGCCCTGGCAGGTGCGCAACCGTTGTTGCAGAAGTTCGAAAAAGTTGCTCGCAAAAGCCCGTTTGACAGAAATGTTTAAAAAGTGTTGGGTTTCCTACGAATCCGCAAGAGCGCGCGGGATGAAATTTTGACACTTTTTTTGAAAAACCATTGGTTTTTTGATGTTTTTATGTTAAAATCGTTACGAACACTAAGGTTTTGGAAGGATTTCGTCTTGCGCGCGCGAATGTCCACTTTACCTTATTTTTTGCAAGGGATTCTTGAAGTTTGGTTATGTTAGAACAAGAAATGTCCACTTTGCCTTATTTTTTGCAAGGGAAAACCGCCCGTAACAAAACAACCGGATCCGGACCAACCCGTTTTGCCGGAGACTTCCTCACGAAAATGATGAAAACATGGCTGCGGCCTAGGCGCGGCGAGGGGGCCGTGCACCAGGGGTCCCAACAATAATTATTCTTTAGAAGTAATAATGTTCAACAACAACAACAACAACAACAACAGCAGCAGCAGCAGCAGCAGCAGCAACAACAACAACAACATCATCAACAACAACAGCAGCAACAGCAACAGCAACAGCAACCTCATCATCATCATCATCATCATCATCATCATCATCATCACCATCACCATCACCATCTTCATCAACATCAACATCAACATCAACAGCATCATCAGCATCATCATCGTCGTCATCATCATGATCCTCATCCTCCTCATTATCATCATCACCATCATCACCATCATCATCATGATCAGAATCATCCTCATCCTTATCCTCATCCTCCTCGTCTTCGTGTCGTCGTTAACAGATTCGGCATCATCATCGTCATCATCATCACCATGATCACCATCATCGTCAGCAGTAGCATCAGCATGATCATGATCATCATCGGCAGCATAATCGTCATCACCAGCATCAGCATCACCACCACCACCATAATCATCATCAGCAGCATCAGAATCAGCATCCTCGTCACCATCCTCAGCAGCACCATCATCATCAGCATCAGCATCATCATCAGCATCAGCATCAGCATCATCTTTGTCATCATGAGCAGCATATTCGCCATCATTATCAGCAACATCATCTTCATCATCATCAGCATCATCATCAGCAGCATCATCATCATCCGTCTCATCCTCCTCAGTATCATCATCACCATCATCACCATCAGCATCATCATCACCATCATCCTCATCCTTATCCTCAACCTCATCCTCCACGTCTTCGTGTCGTCGTCAACAGATTCGCCATCATCATCACCATCATCGCCTGCAGCAGCATCAGCATCATCATGATCACCATCGGCAGCATAACCGTCATCACCAGCATCAGCATCACCACCACAACCATAATCATCATCAGCAGCATCATAATCAGCATCCTCGTCATCATCCTCAGCATCACCATCATCATCAGCATCAGAATCATCATCATTATCGGCAGCATCATCATCTTCTTCTTTGTCATCATGAGCAGCATGTTCGCCATCATCATCAGCAGCATCATCATCAGCATCAGCAGCATCATCGTCATCAGCAGCATCAGCATCATCATCATCAGAATACTCATCATCATCATCATCATCATCATCATCATCATCATCATCATCATCATCATCATCCTTCTCACCCTCATTATCATCATCACCATCATCACCCTCATAATCATCCCCATCCTTATCCTCATCCTCATCCTCCTCGTCTTCGTGTCGTCGTTAACAGATTCGGCATCATCATCATCATCATCATCGTCATCATCATCACCATCATCAGCAGCAGCATCAGCATCATCATGATCACCATCGGCAGCAAAATCGTCAGCATCAGCATCAGCATCACCACAACCACCATAATCATCATCAGCAGCATCATAATCAGCATCCTTGTCATCATCCTCAGCATCATAATCATCATCAGCATCAGCATCACCATCATCATCAGCATCATCTTCTTCTTTGCCATCATGAACAGCATATTCGCCATCACCATCATCATCAGCAGCATCCTCAGCATCATCATCATCATCAACAGCAGCAGCATCAGCAGCAGCATCATCATCATCATCCTTTTCAACCTCCTCCTCCCTATTATTATCATCATCACCATCATCACCATCATCATCATAATCATCCTCATACTTATCCTCATCCTCATCCTACTCGTCTTCGTGTCGTCGTTAACGTATTCAGTATCATCATCGTCAACATCATCACCATCATCATCAGCAGCGGCATCATGATCACCATCGGCAGCAGAATCGTCATCATCAGCATCAGCATCACCACCGCCACCATAATCATCATCAGCAGCATCATAATCAGCATCCTCGTCATCATCCTCAGCATCACCATCATCATCAGCATCATCATCATCAGCATCATCTTCTTCTTTGTCATCGTGAGCAGCATTTTCGCCATCATCATCATCAGCAGCATCAGCATCAGCATCAGCATCAGCATCATCATAATCATTATAATCATCATCATCATCATCATCACCACCACCACCACCACCACCACCACCACCACCATCATCATCATCATCATCATCATCATCATCATCATCGCCTGGGGGAGCGAGAGCACGGTGGAGACCGCTGCGCTGCGCCAGGACGGGCGACCCGCCCCAGGCGGCGACCGCCCCCCTGGGGGGGGGGGCGCCGTCCTCGTCACCCCGCGACATGGAGCGCAGAGAGCCACAGCGGTCCACTGGGGCCTCACTGCCGGCGCGCAGGGCGACCAGGGCAGGGGAAGCGCCGAGTCTGCCGCCGATGCCCCCGGCGGGGCCGCCCCCTGGAAGGGTCCCAGAGAAGGAGCCGCCGAGCCAGCTGGTGGGGACGCAGCTCGGACCCCTGCGGCCGGCCGGACCGACGCTCCGCGACGGCTGCATGGACCAGCCTGCGGAAGGCATCGTGCGAGAGCGCGGGAAAGCTGGGCGAGGCTCAGGCCGGGCATGTCCCCCCACAGGCGGATTTTGGACGAGAAATGAGGAATGGCCCAAAAACCCTCAAAAATAGTCAAAGAGATCGTCCCCAAACTACTTTTGTTACTATCTTTGAAACCTCCCCCTGTGGAGGGACATGCCCGACAGAAGTGGGGCGAGGCGAGAGCGGCGTCGGGCGGAGCTGGCCACGCCCGGGGGGGGCAGCGAGGTGCCGTTGCGGCCCCGCGGCCTGTGGCCCTCGGGCGCGGCGGCGACCCCGCGGCGTCCTCAGGGGCGAGGCGGAGCTGGCAGACTGCGGGATCGCCGAGGGGGCCGCCGCGCAGCCGGGGCGACGAGGGCCCCCCAGAGGCGAAGACGAGGCAAGGGCAGCGATATCGGCACCTCGCTGCTCTCTGAGAATCTGTCCATGTCCCCCGTCTGCCAAGGCCCCCGAAGATCGATCCCCCAGGCCGTGGCTACGGATAAATCCCCGCCTCGGACCAGGGGCGGGGAGACGTAAGACTCGGGTACGGGGGACTCGGGCTGGCCTGACGGGGGCCCTCCTAAAAAGGACGAGGGCCAGCCTGAAATTTGACGCGGGCTTCCGCCGCAGACATCCCACGGAAACGGGACCGTCAGAATCCAGGACGCGCTCGTCAAAAAAAATTGGCAAACCCGAGTTACAGCTTACTCGAGTCTTACGTTTCCCCGACAGGAGCAGCTGAAGGTGGTCGTTGCAATCCCAGGAGAGTCCGTCTCGCTCCAGACCTGCGGGGCGATGCCCTCCCGCCAGCCGGGGTCGCCCAGGAGTTCACATCCCCGGGCGCGTACACCACGACGCGAACGATGGCCATGAGGCACCCTTCGATGGCGGTGCGAAAAGTCTTGTGGATGCCATGACAATGGACACTCTAACAATCCGATCATTGAATCAAATGTGTGTTGAAAATGTCTGAGAAATGCTCCAAAAATGCTTAAAACATGTTATTACATGTTTAAGACATGTTCAAACCATGTGTTTGACATATGTAATGTATTTGGCAACATGCTTCCTCTCCAGTGATCGTCGTCCACAGGAGAAGTCTGCCAGGTCATCGGTGGACACGCCCAGAGTACGCGAGCTCGGCGTCCGGGAAGGGCCTGCTGCTGGTGCGGCAGAGGGGGCAGCGAGGCCGACGAGGACCTCAGTGTGCAGTCCCCTGCGCTGCCGAAGTCGCCCACGGGGCGGGCGAAGCCGCTCGTTTCCCGGGGAGGGCGGCCACGCCCAAGAGTTAAGTCGGGCCTGTCCCCCTACAGGCCGATTTTGGACGAAAAATCAAAAATACCAACAACAACAACGAAAAATACACTAAAAATGCTCAAAAATGGTTTTGAATATTTCCCCTGTAGAGGGACAGGCCCGACTTAACCCGAGAGGCACTGGGCGAGCCAGGCGGGACGGCGGGCGGGCGGAAGAGCACGGTGAAGGCCGGCGGGGAGCGGGGAAGCAAGCAGGCGGCGCGCCGGGTCGCCAGGGATGGGTCCGCAGCGCGGGAGGGGGCAGCGGCACGTGGCGTCCGTGAGGAACTTCGGGATGCATCGGTCCGCCCCGCGCAGTGGAGCGGCCGTCACCCCCGAACCAGCTGGCAGGGACTGTGTGCTTGCGGATGAAGGCGCTGGACACCTGCTAGTCCGAGCAAGGGTGAAAGCCCAGGTGGCGGAGGAGGGCGAAGTGCTGGAGGGTGAGGCAGCTGTTGCCGGCGTCGCAATCGAGCATGGGGTGAAAATTCTGGGCGAACTGGGAAACCATGTTCTGGTCGAAGGCACCGTCGGTTGGGCGGCGCGCGGAAAGAGTGCAGCAGGAGGACGCGGGCGAGAAGGGGGAAAAGGGCGGGACCCTCGATCACTTCATGAAGCCAATGACGCAACTCCTCGCGCGCTTCCACGAAAGGGAACCCTGTGGTCGGGGGGTGGCGCAAGTTGGCGATGAAACTCTTGGCCTGCTGCGTGGCGAGGGCGGAGCTGGCCTGGTCTTCTTGGGGCATATTATTGTAGGAAGGCGCGCCCCCGACCACGACCCGAAGGAGATCTGGGTGAAAGCAACGGCCCTGGATGGCTGTGACAAGCTGCACACGAGGCCAGCGCGATCCGCAAACTCGGCGAAGGTCCGGAGCTGGGCGCCATGGCTGGCCTGGGCCATGGCGGAAATCCAAATTCGATGCAGCCCCGCCTAGCTCGAGTCGAGGTGCCCGAGTTTGTAGTTTCCGTTGGAATGTACGCAGCAAAGTGGGCGTTATCCTGCACGAAGGTGCGAACCAGTTCGCAGTACCACAACCACCACCCATCCGAAATCCTGGCCAACCTCATGAAGGGGCACCGCCGGCATTGAAAGCACGGATTCTTCCCCGGGCTGCCGCAAGGCCCACGGGGGTCGGGGGCAAGGACTGCAGGCCACCGCTGTGAAGGCGGGGCCATGGGGGGGAGCAACGAATAGTTGCAATGCTACTTGAGAGAAACAGCGGCGCAGAGCTGGCCAAGGGGGGCGGGCTGCGAAGCCTTAGTGGAGCCAAGAGGGGGATCGCCCGATCCTGTCTCGGCGCGATCGGTCCTGGGACCAGGCCTGCTCCAGGTCGTCCGCAGCAGCGGAGCGCGGGTCGGGATGAAGGGAGGCACCGACAGAGAGGGGGAAGAGAGGCGGAGGAGGCCCCCACGGTGGGGCGTTGTGCCGGATGGCCCACACTCGGGGCCACGCTCACGCGCGCGCGCGCGCACAGCTCCAGAACGCGGGCTGCGCTTCCCTGGGGGCGCCTCGGCTCTCCTCCCGCCCCCGTGCGCGCCCCTCGGACCGCTCGCGCGCGGGCGCGCGCGAAATGGTGTCCTGCCACGTGCTCCGCCGCGTCGTCCTGCGCCGGGAGCAGCCACACGGACCGGGCGGTCGTGGGCACGGGCTCCGCTGGCCCCTCGCCGGGGGCGGCTCGCCTCTCGGCTCGGTCCGCGCAGGGGGCCCCGGGGTGCGTCGGAGCGGCCCCCTCCCACTGGTGGGCAGGTCCGCGGAGCTGCCAGAGGAGGGATGGAGGAGGAGAGAGGAGGAGGAGGAGGAGGAGGAGGAGGAGGAGGAGGGAGGAGGAGGAGGAGGAGGAGGAGGAGGAGGAGGAGGAGGGGAGGAGAGAGCGGAGGAGGAGGAGAGAGAGCGAAGGAGGAGGAGGAGGAGGAGGAGGAGGAGACGGAGCAGGAGGGAGAAAGGACGAGGAGGAGGAGGCGGAGGAGGAGGAGGAGGGAGAAAGGACGAGGAGGAAGAGGCAGTGGAGGCGGAGGAGGAGGAGGTTCTTGTTCTCGAGGAGGAGGAGGAGGAGGAGGAGGAGGAGGCGGAGGAGGAGGAGGAGGGAGGACCAGGATAGACCAAAGATGCATCAACGATGCTGCAATACAACCCTGCCGTCCGAGTCGCTTCTTCACGAGTCCTGTGCCTGCCAGCCAGACGAGACCCAGTTTTGTCAAACAAAACACCCTCCATCTTTCCAGCAAACAGAAACGGAGAAAATGACAAAAATCAAAACAAACAAAAAACAAACAAAACAAAACAAAACAAAAACACTGCGATAGCCCCGACTGGGAAATGCTCTGCCCTCAAGATGCCTGCAGGCGTTGCCCGTCTTCAGACTCTGGCCATGGATTCACAGACTCGAGCGAGAAGAGAAGCCGCCCTGCACCCGGGCAGCTGCTGTAGACTTGGGCATGTCGGATCATGGTGTGAGGCCTACAGTCAACCTGTACGGTAAGGATGCGCGGCAAGGATGCGAGGGCCTCGGACGACCATGCCGAGGCTCTTCGAGCGGGGCTTGCCTTCGAAAGCGGTTGAGGATTGGCCGAAGATGACCGACGAGGCAAGGATGCGAGGGTACCCTTGGGAAGCCGCTCATCCTTACTGTGCGGGTTGACTGTACCGTCTCCGAGTCAGATTTCCGAAAACGGACCGGCCTTCGGCATTGCAAATACACCCTGCGAAATGCTTAAGAAATCATGGGTTAAGAAACTCAGAGTCTCAGAATTTGAATAAAAACCCAGAACTTCTATCAAAATCTTAAGATTTACACTGAAACGTTAAGAATAGTCGAGACTCTGGCCGAAAACTTAAGTTTTCTTAAGCATCGCCTAAGGTGTACTGTTAACGTTAAAGACGAATGCACGTGGCGCTGAGGAGAAAGCCGCAGTTTGAGATCCAATCTCTTCTATCACCAACTGACGCAAGCGTGTGCACCGAATATGCGCGGCTCTCCGGCGCAAGCCCCACATTGTTGTGGACGTTGGATTTGTTTTTGCTCTAAGACGTCCAAAGCGAAACGCCAGGACGGCGACGACGAGGATGAGGGCAAGGGGGAGGGGGGCGGGGAGGAGGAGGGGGAGAAGGAGGAGGAGAAGGAGAAGGAGGAGGAGGAGGAGGAGGAGGAGGAGGAGGAGAAGAAGGAGGAGGAGGAGAGAGAGGAGGAGGAGGAGAGAGAGGAGGAGGAGGAGGAGGAGGAGGAGGAGGACCAGTGCAAACCCAAGAGTCACCAACGACGTTGGAATAGACCCTCCCTCCAAGCTCCCTCTTCATAGGTCCCTACAACGGTTCATTTCCATTGAGGGAACTGCCTCGTTGGATGAAAACCGTTTGGAAACCCTGAAGCATGCCAAAACATTGTTCTCGGGATTCCAACGCCACGGATCAAGTTGCCTGTTGCGTCTAGACGATCCTGAATCGTGTCAGAAGGGCAGTCCTGGGAATCAACATAACTGTTGCACCCGCATAATCCTGAATCCTTCCCACTGACGTGCATATGTGAAACTCTTTCAAATGGTATACATTCATGCGCGCGGCGTTAAAGCGAGAACCACATGTTTAAAAAGAACCGCCTGCAGCCCGTGAAACTCTTGCAATTATTTGAAGCGAATACACGCGGTGCTAAAGCGAGAGCCACCTGTTGAAAACGATTCGCCCTCAACCCGTGAAACTCTTGCAAAATTTCCAAACGAATGCGCGCCACGCTAAGGCGAGAGCCATATTTTGAAAACGGCCCGCCGTCCATCTGTGAAATTGTTGCCAACATTGAAGTCTCAGATGAAACGGCTGCTCCACCCTACAAACCGGCCTCGGGGTGCAACAGGGATAGATCATGTATAAGGAAATCGAATGGAAGAGGAGGAGGAGGAGAAGGAGGAGGAGAAGCAAGAGGAGAAGGAGGAGGAGGAGGAGGAGGCAGGAGGAGGAGGAGGAGGAGGAGGAGGAGGAGGAGGAGGAGGAGGGGTGGAGGGGGTGGGGACGGCGACGACGGGGACGAGGGGAAGGAGGGAGGGGGAAGAGGAGGAAGAGAGAGGGGGAGGAGGAGGCAGAGTGGGGAGGAAGTAGGAGGAGGAGAAGGAGGAGGAGGAGGAGGAGGAGGAGGAGGAGGGGAGGAGGGGGAGGAGGAGGAGGAGGAGGGAGGGAGGAGGAGGAGGAGGAGGAGGAGGAGAAGGAGGATGAGGAGGGGAAGGAGGAGGAGGAGGAGGAGGAAGAAGGGGAGGGTAGAGGGGGGGAGGAGGAAGAGGAGGAGCGGCAGGATGAGGAGGGGAAGAGGAAGGGGGAGGAGGAGGCAGAGTGGGAGGAGGAGGAAGGAGGACGAGAGGAGGAGGAGGAGGAGGAGGAGGAGGAGGAGGAGGAGGAGGAGGAGGAGGAGGAGGAGGAGGAGGAGGGGGAGGAGGAGGGGGAGGAGGAGGAGGAGGAGGAGGAGGAGGAGGAGGAGGGGAGGAGGAGGAGGGGAGGAGGGGGAGGAGGTTGGGAACAAGGGGTGAGGGGAGGGGGGAGGAGGAGGAGGAGGAGGAGGAGGAGGAGGAGGAGGAGGAGGAGGAGGAGGAGCGGAAGGAGGAGGAGGGAGAGGAGGAGGAGGAGGAGGAGGAAGAGGAGGAGGAGGAGTGGAAGGGGTAGGGGTGGTTGGTCAGCGTGCTCCCACTCCGCTGGCAGGCGGAAGTTGCGACCCCGGCTGCGGCTTCCTTTCCGCTGGGAGCGCCGCGGCCTGTGGGGGGCTCCAGGAGGCGACCGTGCTGCAACGGCTCTGAAGGCCAGACCGCATGCACTGGACGAGAGCATCGACTGACCGAGCGAGGATCGAGGATCGAGGATCAAGGATCGATCGAGGATCGAGCATTGGGGGTCGAGGATCGAGGCTCAAGGATCGACCGAGGATCGAGGATGGGGATCGACCGATCGAGGATCGAGGATCGAGGATCGAGGATCGAGGTTCGAGGGTCGAGGGTCGAGGATCGGGGATCGGGGATCGGAGGATCGAAGGTCGGGGATCGAGGATCGGAGGATCGGAGGATCGAGTGTCGAGGATCGAGGAGGCGGGGACGCTGTCCTCGAAGTCGCCGCCGCTGCACCTGAGCATCGTGTGGGAGCTCGGGCTCTGCAAATAGAGGAACCACGCCCGACATAAACATGACCTCTCAGAGCTCCGCGCGGATGTCTTGGATCGGCGCTAGGCCCTCATTGGCGACGCCTCCAGCGCCGCTCCCATGGCGCGCTGCGCGCGCTAGGGAGGGGGGGAATCCAACCCTGATCCAAGAAATCCGCGGGGAACTCCGAAGTTTATGTTGATTATGTGTTTGGTTCTTCGAGGAAAGTGGCACCGCACTGGGGGGACAGAAAAAGGTACCGATGCGGCTACCCCACGCACCTCTACAGGGGTGCGTTCTGACCAGAAATTCGGGGCGAATCCAGACGTGGCGACACAAGAAGGGTATCCAGGTATCCAGCCGTTGCGACGAGGCAAGGGTAGCAGTATCGGTACATGTGCCTCTTCTGACGAACGTGCAGCTCCAGGGACCACCGATCTGCAATGGCAGAACAGAACGACATCAACAAGACGTCAGAAGGTCCGCGCGGATTTCTTTGATCGGCGCTGGAGGCGCCGCCAGGGGGTCCAGCGCAGAGCCGAGAAATCCGCGCAGACCTTCGAAAGCTTGTGTTCATGCAGTGGTTTGTTCTTCAATGCAGCAGGGTGGCATAGGACAGCGTGCGACCTAAATGCCACCTCCGCCTCCTTCTCCTCCTCCTCCACCTCCTCGTCCTCCTCTTCTCCTCCTCTTTTCCTCCTCTGTACTCCTCTGTCCTCCTCCTCCTCCTCCTCCTCCTCCTCCTCCTCCTCCTCCTCTCCTCCTCCTGCTCCTCCCCCTCCTCCTCCTCCCCCTCCTCCACAATTACACAATATGATTACTACTCTCCTCTCTCCCCTGATGACGTCCAGAAGATATCTGCCCCCCCCCTCCGCGTACTGTTTTTTGCACACAAGATTCCTGGGCAATGGGTTTTCGCTCGGGCCGTTTTTCAAAATGTTGCTCCCGCTGCAACGCTGGCCCCATGTCTGCGCCTCTGGTTGTTCCAAATCGTGCTCCCGCTGCAGCGCGGGCGTTTCAGTCCTTGTACATAGGCCCCAAAATTTAGAAAATGGCCCCCCGGAAAATGATCGGAAATAATTACACATTCGGTGTCGATTCGTCGTTTTTGGGGGGCCGCAGAAGCCCCACTTTGGGGGATCGCTGCTTTCAGGAAGTATCAAGCAGGAGCCCCGTCTCTGCTTTGAGAAGGCGATGTTGAAAGCAGAGCCAGCGGGTGCTCTCCATTAGCCCCGCCTTGTGCGGAGCTTTCCAGGGAGCCCAAGGAGCTAGACATGGAGCCACGACTCCAGACTGGCCCAAACCTCTCGAAGACGAGATCCACTTACCCTCCAAGGAGCCCGGCGCCATGCCATGACATGCAGTGCGGTGTTGTGGTCTGCGCCGCGTTGCGATGCCATGCTTGGCGTTGCAACGCTTTGTGATGCAATGCTTCACTGCGCAATGCCACGCCATGCTATGGCATGCTACGCTTTGCCGTGCTCTTCTACACCATGCCATGCCGCACTTTATCATGCATCGCGTACCCTCTCGCGATCATTGTCCTGCTCGACAACCGACTGCGCGAATAGAGAGGATACCTACGCCATGGTAAGGGATAGGAAAGAGGGGTAGGACGTCAGGTATGACGCGAGCGCACCTAGCTTGTCCCCCTCCCCCTTCCTCCCGCCCTCCTCCTCCTCCTCCACCACCTCCGCCTCCTGCTCATCTTCATCCTCCTCCTCCCTTTCCAACTCGTCCGCCGCCTCCGCCTTCTCCTCCTCCTCCTCCTCCTCCTCCTCCTCCTCCTCCTCCTCCTCCTCCGACTCCTCCTCCTCCTCCTCCTGCTCCTGCTGCTCCTCCTCCTCTTCCTCCTCCTCCTCCGCCTCCTCCTCCTCCTCCTCCTCATCTCCTCCTCCTCCTCTCCTCCTCCTCCTCCCCCTCCCCCCTCCTCCTCCTCCTCCTCCGCGTGCTCCCGCATCTCCCGCGTGCCCCTCGCCGGGCGACGAGGGGGGGCGGGGAGGGTGACGGGGGAGGGTCCATAGCGGGGACGGCGGGAGGCGACCGCCTTGCGCATTTCTGCCCTTCCAGTCCAACGTGTTGTGGCCTCAGGCCGGGCAATCGCCTCCTCCCGCCCTCCATCCTTCCCTCCTCCCGCCCTCCCGCCCTCCTCCTCTTCCTCCTCCTCCTCCTCCTCCGCCTCTCTCCCTCGTCCTCCTCCTCCTCCTCTCCCTCCTCCTCCTTCCGCCTCCGCCGCCTCTCCCCTCCTCCTCCTCTTCCTCCTCTCTCCTGCCTATCCTCCGCCGCCACCGCCGCTGCCGCTGCCTCCCCTCTTCCTCCCCCTCCTCCTCCTCCGCCCTCATGTATTATTATTAGTATTATTATGAATAGTATTAGTAGTAGTATTATCATCATTGCTATTATTAGTAATAGCAATGGTAATATTAATATTACTGATATTATTAGTATTAAAAACATACTATTATTACTAATAGTAATAATAATATTACTATTTGTATTATTAATCGTATTTTTAATAGTATTATTAGTAGTGGCATTCGTATTACTATGATTCGCCTTACTCTTCGTATTAATCGTATTATTACTAGTATTATGTTTGTTGATAGTCTGTTTGTTCCGATTAATAGTAGAATGATTATGCTTAATCCGTATTATTGTTAGTATTAGTATTCATAGCATTGGTCGATGTATTCTTAATGTTATGAGTATCATGTTTCTTCGTAGTATGATTCTGCTTAGTATCATTAATAGTATTAGTAGTAGTGTTAGTATTCATATTCGTACTAGTAGTAGTAGTAGTAGTAGTACTACTACTACTACTAATGTTAGTGTTATCATTAGTAGTGTTAGTATGGTTCGTATTCTTATGTATACTCTTACTCTTATTATTACTCCTCCGCCTCTTCCTCCGCCTCCTCCTCCTCATGATCATCATGATCATCATGATCATCATCAGCATCATCAGCATCATCGGCATCATCAGCATCATCAGCATCATCACCACCATCAACATCATCATCATCATCATCAACATCATCATCATCATCGTCATCATCAGTATCATCATCGCCGTCATTATCATCTATCATCATCATCCGCATCATCATCAGCAGCATCATCGTCACCACCACCACCATCAACATCATCAGCAGCAGCAGCAGAAGCAGCATCATCATCATCATCATCATCATCATCATCAGCATCATCATCATCCGCCTCCATCCCTCATCCTCCCTCACATGACCCTTATCGTTACTCCTCGTAGATTTCCTGCCTCCACCCCACCCCCACTTCTCCTCCTCCTCCTCCTCCTCCTCCTCCTCCTGCGCCTCCTCCTTCTCCTTTCCTTCTCATTATGAACAACCTATCCCTGTGGAACCCCGCGGCCACGTTTCAGGGCGGGCAGGGCGCTTCGCCTGAGACTTCCTCGCCATTTATGGCCCTGAAGCTTAAGAATTGGCAACAATTTCACATATGGAGGGCGGGTGGTTTTCACAATGTGGCTCTCGCGCTCCCGCCTTAGCGCCGCGCACAATGGTGTTAAAAATGTCAAGACGTTCACTGCTTGGGGGCGACCCGTTTTCAAAATGTAGCTCTCGCATTAGCGCCGCGCACATTCGGTTTGAAAAAAATGCAAGAGCTTCACGGCGTGTGTGAGGGTCACCCGTCTTCAAAATGTGGTTTTCGCCTTGGCGCCGCGCACGTTCGTTTTAAAAACGTGCAGGAGTGTCACAGGTTCCCATGGCCAGCGTGCCAGGGAGATGGCGTGTTGGAAGGGTTCCGGACTATGAGGGTGCAACAAGTACGTTAATTCGCAGCGTCGAAGTCCCAAGAATGGCGTTCTGGCAAGATTCAGGATCGTCAAGGCGCAACAAGCAAATTGATCCGTGACGTTGGAATCCCGAGAACAATGGTTTGGCGTGCTTCCGTGTCTTCACGAGGTTGCCTTCAGACGACGTAGTTCCCTCAATGGAAATCAACCCCTGTAGGGGCACATGAAGAGGGAGCTTGGAGGGAAGGTGTATGAAAACACCGCTGGTAACTCTTAAGTTGACACTGGTCATCCTCCTTCTCCTCCTCATCCATCTCCTCCATCTCCTCCATATCTTCCTCCTCATCTTCCTCTTCCTCCTCCGCCGCATTATCCTCCTCCTCCTCCTCCTCCTCATCATCAGTCATCATCATAATCCTCATAATCAGCATCAGCATCATCATGGCATCAGCATCATCAGCATCAGCATCAGCATCATCATCATCATCATCATCAGCATCAGCATCATCATAATCATCAGCATCATCATCAAAATCTTAATCATCATCATCATCATCATCATCATCATCATCATCATCAGCATCAGCATCAGCATCAGCAGCATCAGCATGATCATCAGCATCATCATCATCATCAGCAGCAGCATCAGCATCCGCATCATCATCATCGTCAGTATCGTCATCATCAGTATCAGCATCATCATCATCATCATCATCAGCAGCAGCATCATCAGTATAATCATTATCAGCATCAACGTCACCATCACCATCATCATCATCATCAACATCAGCATCTTCATCGTCATCGTCATCGTCTTCATCATCACCATCAGCATCAGCATCACCATCACCATCAACATCGCATCAGCAGCATCATCATGCTCACAATCAGCATCGTCATCATCAGCATCCGTATCATCGTCATCATCATCATCATCAGCATCATAATCATCATCATCATCAGTAGCAGCAGCAGCATCAACATCATCATCATCATCGTCATCAGCATCACCATCACCACCACCATCACCATCATCAGCATCGTTAGCATCATCATTATCTTCAACAACATCATCATCATCAGCATCAGAAACATCATCATCATCATCATCATCATCATCATAATCATCATCATCATCATCATCATCATCATCGTCATCGTCATCGTCATCGTCATCATCGTCCACCTCATCAACACCACCACCGCCGCGATCATCATCATCAGCATCAGCAGCACCAGCAGCAGCATCATCATAATCGTCCTCATCCTCCTCCTCCTCGAACTCATCATCATCAGCAACATCGGCATCAGCATCACCATCAAATTCACCACCACCATCACCATCACCATCATCATTATCATCATCGTCAGCATCGTCATCAACCTCATCATCATCATCATCATCATCATCATCATCGTCGTCGTCATCATCAGCATCATTAGCATCAGCATCGTCATCAGCAGCAGCTCCATCATCATTATCATCATCGTCAGCATCATCATCATCATCATCATCATCATCATCATCATCATCATCCTCAGCATCAGCATCAGCATCATCATCCTCATCAGCATCATTCTCAGCATCATCATCATCAACACCATCATCAGAATCGTCATCACCATCGTCATCGTCATCATCATCATCAGCATCAGCATCATCATCAACATCATCATCAGCATCATCATCATCAGCATCATCATCAGCATCACCAGCATCATCATCATAATCAGAATCAGCATCATCAACATGATCATCATCATCATCATCATCATCATCATCATCATCATCATCATCATCGTCGACATCGTCATCAGCAGCCTCCTCATCATCAGCATCATCAGTATCCTCCTCATCATCGACATCATCATCACCAGCAGCAGCATCATCAGCAGCATCATCGTCGGCATCATCATCAGCAATAGCAGCATACTCGTCATCAGCAGCATCATCATCATCATCAGCATGGCCATCGCCATCACCATCACAATCACCATCAGCATCCTCTTCTTCACAATCAGCACCATCGGAAACAGAAGCAGCATCATCCTCGTCAGTGTCATCGTCATCGTCATCATCATCGTCACCACCACCACCACCACCATCAGCATCAGCATCCTCACCACCAACATCATCGTCATCGTCTTCGTCAGCATCATCATCAGCATCAGTCAGCCTCATCCGCATCCTCAAAATCATCATCGTCAGCAGCTTCATCATCCTCTACATCATCAGCAGCAGCATCATCACCGTCCCCATCCTCTTTCTCCTCATCATTATCGTCAGCAGCAGCGTCATTATGATCATGCTCGGTATCGTCATCATGATGGCCACCATCATCGTCATCATCCTAATTACCATCACCACCACGAACACCACCAATACAATCATCATCATCATCATCATCATCATCATCATCATCAGTAGCAGCAGCAGAATTCATCATCATCACGACCACCACCATCATCATCAGCATCAGCATGATGGTCGTCGTTGTCACCGTCAGCAGCATCATCATCATCAGCATCATCATCACCATCGTCATAATCATCATCATCATCATCATCATCATCATCATCATCATCATCAGCATCAGCATCAGCATCATCATCATCATCATCATCATCATCATCATCATCATCATCATCATCGTCTGACCCCTCCCCGACCCAGAGCTGGCCTCGAGCAAACTCCGTTGCTGCCAGGTCGGCCAAAAGCAAAGCCCAGTCTGAGGCCGCGGCACTGGCAGCCGCACATCATGAGCTCTCGCTCCCAGGCGACCCTGAAGCGGGTGGTCACCATCGTCACCCCGCGCCTCCTTCCCCACCGCCCCTCCTCCCTCCTCCCCCTTCCCACGCATCCTGCTCCTCCCGTTCTCCTCGTCCCCATCCTCCCTTCCCATCTCCTCCTGCACCCCTTCTTTCCCTTCTCCTCCCCAGCCCACGGAGCTCCGCACGACGATCGGTCCGCCGTGCACGGATCTGCAGAGTCCGCAACTCTCGAGATCGGGCGGACTCCCACGCGGTGCTTTCCCACACCGACTGCCAGACTTACTGAAGATCGACTCTTCGCGGCACTCCCTCTCCCCCTCTCTCCCTCAACATTTCACCCGCTGCGGACCGCGCGAAGAAGCCGATCCCGTCCCCCCCTTCGCTGCTCTGCCTCGCACGGCGACCGAATGGGACGGAGCGCCGCCTCTGCGTTCGCACCGCCCCCACGGCAGGAACGCTGCGCGACAATGCGAAGCCGTCACGCCCTGAGGCCTGAGGACAGATCCTCTCTTGGCGGCGCGCGCTAGTAAAGGGAAATTAGGACACACAAATAAATACACACAAATAAAAATATTCCCCATATTTTCCCATATTTTCTGGGTTTTTGTCTTCCCCCCCACTTCCCATATTTTTGCATATTTTCCTGGGAGTCGACGATTAATTGTGTCTGTGTGTTTCTTTTCCCCCTGAGCTAGGGGGTGGGGGGAGGGGGCAGGGCTCCTTAGAAGGAGGCTGCTTCTTAGAAGGCGCCGGCCTTCCACCCACAGAGAAGGCCCGCGCCTGCCAAGAAGCAGGGGTGCTTCTGAGAAGCCCTCCCCCCTCCCCCACCACCCTCTGCGCGTGACTGGCTCTTCCTGCGGCGCATATTCTTCGTGCTCCCCGTCACCATCACAATCAGAATCGCCCATCTGGCTCCGTCTCGTCGTCCTCCTCATGTTTCTCCTTTCCCCTCTGACTTGTGTTCCTCCTCCTCCACCTCCTCCCCCCTTTGCTAGAGGCCATTGTGGACCCCACACAGTGACAGAGTGAGATGTTGCACTGTGGATGTGGAAGCTACGTGGTGCAAGCTATGTGGTGTAAGCTGTGGCGCAGTATACGTGGTGCAGGCTAGAGCGAGCAACGAGGCGGCTACGGGCAACAACGAGGCGGCAACGAGCGGCAACGTGGAAAATCCTCACCGCACTCACCCAACGCACGAGGCGGCAACGAGGCGGCAACGAGACGAAACCTAGCCGGACCCACCCAGCGCACGAGGCGGCAACGAGGTGGCAACGAGGCGAAACCTCGCCGGACCCACCCAGCGCACGAGGTGGCAGCGAGGCAGCAACGTCGCGAAGCATCGCCAGACCAGGCGGTAACGAGGCGGCATTGAGGTGGTCACGTGGCGAAACGCGGCCAGACCCCACAAGCGCTGTGGGCGGCAACGAGGCGGCAACGGGCGGCACCGTGCCGAAGCCTCGCCGAACCCACCCAGCACACGAGGCGGCAACGAAGAGGCGGCGGCACCGTGGCGAAACCTCGGCGGACACACCCAGCGCACGAGGCGGCAACGAGGCGGCAATGGGCGGCAACGTGGCGAGACCTCGCCGGATCCACCCAGAGCACGAGGCGGCAACGAGGCGGCAACAGGCGGCAACGTGGCCTCACCGTCCACCCGTGTGAGTGCTGAAAATATTCAGCTGCCTTGCTATATTAGTTGACGGAAGGCGAAATGTCCGGCCCGCCTGGCCGACGAGTCTAGTAGCCGCAAAAAAAGCAAGTACTTAGGAGGAGGCGCGGATGGAGGGACGAAAGGGGATGGAGGAGGGAAGGGAAGGGGAGGGCGGAGAATGGGAAGTCGACGACGACGACGACGACGACGACGACGACGACGACGACGACGACGACGACGACGACGACGGAGGAGGACGAGGAGGAGGAGAGAGGGGAGGGAGGAGGGAGGGAGGGAAGAGGGAGGGAGGAAGAGCAGGGGGAGAGAGGAGAGAGAAGGGGGAGGGAGGGGCGATCCCGATACGCCCACGTGTGACTACGAATGGACGACATGTCGGGAAGCCCTTCCCCCAAGACCTTGGCGCCATCTGAAACCGCTCCACGCTCGGGTGCGGCCCCCAGCTCTGGACCTCCTGGGAACGGGCGACGCGCTAGAGGAAAGGAGGAGCAAAAAAATGAAGGGAGGAGGAGGAGGAGGAGGAGGAGGAAAGGAAAACTAGAACGACGACGAGGAGGACAGGCCGGCGGGAGGAGAAAGGGGAGAAGGGAGTAGGAAGAGGGGCCTGCGGGGGGAGGAGGAGGAGCAAGAGGCAAAAGACGAGACGACGACGACGACGACGACGACGACGACGACGACGACGACGACGACGAGCTGTTCACTTTTCGTGGTTGTTGTCCGTGCGGCATTTCTGGACGGACACGACACATGCACCCAGAGGAAGGCATGAGGTGGGAAGAGGACGAAGAGGCGGAGAGGGAGTCAACGAGCACAAGGATGGAGACAAGTGATGGACGAACGAGGATGCGGAACGGGAGAAGCGCGAGGGGGAGGAGCAGGCTTGGACTGATCATCGTTGAACCGGTCCCTATCCCTACTGGCATGGCATGGGTCCCAATGGCCGATTTACCACCCTGGTTGGGTATAGGCTGTTCCCTTCGAACTTCGAGGGGCATATCCCCAACTGGGATGGTGGGATGGTGGGGATCGGGATGGGGATGGGGATGGGGATAGGGATCGGTTAAACGTGTCCTGTGGACATAGAACGAGCTCCATCCCCATCCAAGATAGAACGGCAACGAGCAAACTGTTAAACGCGCAAGCGAATAGTTTGCAGACGTTGTTGGCAACAGCAACACCAAGCTGAGGTCGACTCGGCCTCAGCGCACTACTACATGTTGTGGAAAGAGCTACATTGTCGAGAATTACCCCGGCCAACCCGTCGGCCACCCCTCTGACCAACCCCTCGGACAGCAGCGACCAACCCTCCAGACCAACCACTCCGACCAACCCCCGGCTAGGGAAATTCCTTCCTTGCTTGGGAGGTTGGGGGCGAGATCGAAGTGGAACGGAGCCTCCCAACCAGGGAATCGGTTTAGGTTTCGGCGGAGAGAAATCAGCCTCCTCCTCCTCCGACGACGACAACAATGGTGTCGGCGCCAAAGATGATATGAAGTGGCATGAGAAGCCAACTGGGGTGACCGGCGACGCACAACAGCAGATGACGCGCACACGCGACTGCCCTCGCACGTCGCTGCCTCCACCTTCGTCGTCCTCCGTCTCCTTCACCCCCTCTAGAAAAGAACTCTACACAAAAAATAAACGCTCAGGGGTCCGCGCCGATCTTGGACATCCGCCTGGACCCCCGAAAGTAGATGTTTACGCTGATATTCTTGTCCAACCCTCCTCGCTCCTCACTCCTCCTCCTCCTCCTCCTCCTCCTCCTCCTCCTCCTCCTCCTCCTCCTCCTCCTCCTCCTCCTCCTCCTCCTCCTCCTCCTCCTCCTCCTCCTCCTCCTCCTCCTCCCATCCCCCTCCTTCCCTACCTCGTCGCGCCCCTCCCCATCACTCCTCCCCTCCACCTCGTCGCGCTCCTCCCCTCTCATCTACTTTCTCCTCCTTTGAAGGGACACGGCAGAGAGTACCGGCTCAGGGGCAGGAGACATGGATCTGGAATTGGCGCAACAGAGCCAACAGATCGGCGCTTGGACCTCGATAGCGACTCCACACGTTCCTGGGCGGGGTAGGCCATCGGGCCCCTATCGGCGATGCATCAGCGATTGGGGATCGATGCATCTCCTCCTGAGCCTATCCCCCCTTGATGTTGACCCTGATCCTTACCGTTCACCTCGTCAGTGCTCCTGTGGGAACAAGAAGGTGCCGATACCGCTACTCCGCGGACCTCTCCGAGGGTGCGTTCTGACCAGGACTTCGAGGCGAGTCCAGTCGTGGCAACGAGAGAAGGGCAGCGGTGCCGCGTGTCTCACGAGGGCAACGTCCGCGGCGAGGCCGACAGCAAAGCCTGCTCGCAAAAGAGCAGGGGATGCTGTCGGTCTTCGAACAGTCGGACCTAGGCCAGAAGGACATCCGTCAAGAACATGAGACCCTCTGTCGGCCAAAACAAACAGAACATCCAAGGGTACCCTCCCCAGGATGCACAAGGACATCCAACAAACACGAAGAACACTAGGGTACCCTCCCCGAACCGACCTCGATCTTACACCTCGGCCCGACTATACCCTTTCTTTCCGTACCCATTTCGATTGGGCCGATCTTGCTGCTTTCCCACGGCCGCCCGCGGACGCACCGAGGGAACCGAAAGGCAGGGGTGGCCAGGGCGGGCCGGCGGCCACGGGCAAGGCGCCTTCGAGAGCCGAGCGGCTAGCTGCGCGGCGTCGGAGTCCTCCTCCTCGGAAGTCTCGTCCTGCCGACGCCGCGCGGCACCGGCCTCCTCCTCCTCCGCCACCTCCTCCTCCTCCTCCTCCTCCTCCTCCTCCTCCTCCTCTACAGCCACCTCCTCCTCCTCCTTCTTCTTGCTCCTTTCTCCTTCCTCCTTCCTCATTCCTCCTCCCAAGTTCCTCCTTCCTCCTTCCTCCCTCCTTCCTCCTTCCTCCTTCCTCCTTCCTCCCTCCTTCCATATTCCTCCTGCCTCCTTCCTCCTGCCTCCTGCCTCCTTCCTCCTTCCTCCTTCCTCCTTCGTCCTTCCCCCTTCCTCTTCCCCATCCTCCTCTACGCCTCCTCCTCCACCCTCCTCCACCCTCCTCCTGTCTCATCATCCATCCTCCTCCCTCCCCCTATCCTCCTCCCTCCCCTCATCCTTCTCCTCCTCCTCCTCCTCCTCCGCCTCCTAATCCTCTTCCTCTTCCTCCTCATGTTCCTGTTCCTGTTCCTGCTCCTGCTCCTGCTCGGGCTCCTGGTCCTGCTTCTGCTCCTGCTCCTGCTTCTGCTCCTCCTCCTCCTTCTCCTCCGCCTCCTCCTCCTCCTGCTACAACTACTACTACTCCTACTACTACTACTACTACTACTACTACTACTACTACTACTACTACTACTACTACTACTACTACTACTACTACTACTACTACTACTACTACTACTACTACTACTACTACTACTACTACTACTACTACTACTACTACTACTACTACTACTACTACTACTTCTACTTCTACTAACTACTACTAACTAACTACTACTACTTACTACTACTACTCACTACTACTACTACTACTACTGCTACTACTACTACGACTACTACTACTACTACTACTACTACTACTACAACTACTACTACTACTACTACTACTACTACTATTACTACTACTACTACTACTTACTACACTAATACTACTACTATCTACATACTACTAACTACTACTACTAACTACTACTACTACTACTACTACTTACTACTACTACTCACTACTTAC